ATTCTTATCTAAAGTGACCTAACCTTAAAGTTAATTAAATTATAAGAGGATACTTCGCTTTAAACATACCCATATTCAGAATTTTTACTTGAAAATTCTGACTGTGATTTCTGATTGTTGGGATTTTGATTATCGGGATTTTTGTCGGGATTATGATTTGTCGGTATTGTAGTAATTACAAATTCTGTAAACTGTATATGCTTTAAGAAACATTTATTTAATAAGTAAAAACGTTAGAATTTACATATATTAATATAAAAAGCTAAAATTTTATACTTAGTCTATATTCAATATAAGCTGTATAAATAATTGAATCAATGCTATGTTAGAATACATTTAATATTAAATTTATTATTTATGTTTCCAAATAAGAATACTATCAAGAATTTCTTGTGCTGTTTTTTTAGTAGGTTCATAATTATTTGCTTTATCATTAGCAAGTTGATGTCGAATATTTCTTAATTCATGTTGAATAATTTCTTCAATTCCACCATCTAGACCTGCAAGTTGCATGCGAGATTCTTGCAAATTTGTATTCATATTTTCATGTATTTTAATGTCAAATCAATTAAACATACCTTCTAAGTACTGCTGATATACAATAATATTCCAAACCCGAAATTTAACAAATTTATATATAAGTGGAAAGTTTGATAATTCTAACATTTTAGTATTTGCAAAGGTTTCAAATTCATTAAAGAAATCTTCTTGTTGTAATGCTTCCAGTAATCCAAAAGTATTTGAATACCTATTAGATAAATCTTCTTTTAGTTGTTCAATATAAGAGATTTCTCTCCAAGTTGAATTATTTAAAGGCCAATTAAAAAATATATTTAAAAATACGCAGGCAAATTCTAGTCCATACTCACCACCAAGCCTACAAATACTTAAAGGTATATGAATTCAAACTTTTATCTATTTAGTAAATTTATTTAATGCATCTTCTATTCCACTTTGTAATAATTCACAAAAATTTTTAAATTCATTTGTATCTAATTCATGTTCAGCATTTTCTAATTCATTACCAAATAAATCATATATATTTTCTAAATATTTATATAAGTCTTCAATCCAAGTTAATACTTTATCTGACATTTTATGGGCATGACTATCTGATAGAAGAGTAACTAATTTATTTAATTGATAGATTCTGAGAATTAAATCATATCCAGTTAAAAAATTATAAATTGGTTTATAAAATTCTTCTCCAAATTTAACAAGGCATTTTAATTAAAAATTAAGTTGTTTATCAGTTAACCATTCAAAAAATATTTTCCATTTTTGTAAATATTTTTTTGAAACATTTTTAGAATTTTCAAGCTGATTAATAAAAAATTATGCAAATTGAATATGAATATCTCTTCTAGAAAAATATTGTTTAGTAGTTTTTAATTCATATAACCATCTTTGTCTAATAGGTTGTTGATATGAGATTAATTTATAATTAAACAAAACTTCATATAAATCTTGTAAAATTTTAGAAGTTAAATTAAGAGGGCTATCTTTATCAGAAATAGCATATCCATTATGAAGATAGAATGCTAAGTTAAGCAAATTATATGGATGCTTTTTTAAAGATAATCCTTTAACTACATTTAATTTTCCAAATGCTAAATTTTCAAAATTTATTAAGGCAATATGAATTACATGCAATTCACATGGAATTCTAAATGAATTGGATGTTGTTAAAGAATTAAATTTAATTACTGCATCATTAGATTCTGAAGATATATATGCAGTGTTATCTGTTAACCAATAATAGCATTTTTGAGGATTTATATTTTTTTCTTGGCACATTTTAGCAACAGTTGTAGAAATTGTTTTAGCATCACATTTTTGAATATCTGTTAATTTTGCTACTGTAATAGTAGACATATTTTTAATAATATTCCAATAAGCAAAACAAATTATAAGTACTTTTATTTCTTCTCTTGTACTTTCATCAACTATAATTCCATATCCAAAGAAGTGGGAGGAGCTTTCATTTAGACAATTTTAGTTAAAAGATAATATTGCTACTTTATTATTCCATCTAGCTAATGTTGATGATGTAATCCATTGTTGTGGTGTTTGCCCAGTTAAAATTTTAAAAAAAGCATTAGTATACTCAACAGTTGTATTAATTGAAATTTGCTCTATCATACTAATATCTATAGCTAATTTGACAAATTTTGCATTGTATTCTTTTATATTATTGACTTTAAACAATTTGTAAGCAGCATGTTGAAATTGTGTAAGCTTTATTTTTTTAGCTTTTTGAATAGCTGAACAAATTTTTGATATCTGTTTTTGTTTTGTCTGTTTTGCAATAGATAACTGAATTGAAAGTGAATGAATTTTACTATTTAAAATTTTTTTATTTTTTATTAATTTTTGATTTTCTTTTTTTAATTTTTTAATTTAAGTTCTAATATACTAAATTATAATTATACTTATAATATATTGAATCAATATATTTATAAGCTTCTTGTTATAAATGTTTAGAAATTATTTTATCTTTACAATATCCCTGGGAGTATATCATTATTTGAAAAAGAAATATGCATCAGCTAGTTGCTTATTAGATAATATATAAATATGTTTAATTATATCATTTCGCTTTTCTTGAATATGTGTACTCATTTTCTGAATTTCATAAATTTGCTTCATAGCAAAATTAAATTTATCATCTTCAAGATAAAAAAGTGTATTAATTGGGCACTCAAATATAGACTTAAAATTATTATCTATATTTTGATAACTATTGTCAACATCTTGATAATTATTATTAGCAGTTTGATATCTGTTATTAGTATTTTGATAACTATTATTAGTTTTTAGATAACTATTATCAGTATCTTGATAATTATTTTGATAACTAATTTCATCAAAATTATTATTAGTTTCTTGAAAACTATTATTAATTTCTTGCGATATTTTTTGTTTATGAATTTGTCATTTATTTTGAGCATTTCATAGCTGTATTTTTCGAGAAGACAATCAAGCCATAAGTTTAGTAATAAGAGTTTTGATAAGAAAGTGATCTAATTTATTTTTATTTCAATTTTTTTTTATCTACATATATAGCAAATTTGCTAAAAAAACAATCAACATTACAATTTTTCTATACTAATATGTAAATTCTAATATTATTACTTATTAAATAAATGTTTCTTAAAGCATATACAGTTTACAGAATTTGAAAACATAAAATAGTTCAGAAGAAATAAATCTTTGAGTAATATAACTTTTTTATAATAATTTAATAAGAAATAATAAAATTTGAAAATCTGAAAAAAATTACTAGAAAAAAAATTGATTAATGATTTTCACTATGTGGTTTGTACTATGTTTGTGATTAAACCGATATTAGACACTCCAGTAGGTTATTTAGATAGTAATATTAATAAAAAGATTGATAATTAGATAAAAAGATTTTAAAATTTTTTAATTACTTTTCTATTGTTATTTCTTTACTAGTTTTTTTTTTTTTTTTTTTTTTTTTTTTTTTTTTTTTTTTTTTTTTTTTTTTTTTTTTTTTTTTT